GTGATGTCCTCTTCTACCTCTTCCAGCCTTCCGGTAGTTTCCGTGGCATATGTCTTCTTTCTTAAATCGTCAGCTTTACTGTTCCTTCTACCTTCCGGAGGAAATATGCCACGGAGAAAGCCTGTAATTCAACCAGCAGTAACTTCGATTCTCACCTCGAATTGCCCTGTGTCTTCAGTTCCAGGCCCCTGATAGCCGTTAACCTAACATTCTGCAGGGCCTGGGGGGAGGGGACAAGAATTCTGGGAGACTGCAGGTGCAGGACCAGGTTCTCTGTCACTCCCCGCCTCTTTGTCCCGTCCCTGCAGCACTCAGACCAGCCGTGCTGTCAGTGTCACACGTACAACTGCTCACTTGCTAGCTCCAGTTCATAACTGAAGCATTTTGATGTTTTGTATCTCTACTTATAAACTCTCCTCCACCCCAAAGTTTTCCCAACACATATATTTACTAGGTGTTAAATGAGACAATCTCTCTTTCTATACAGAATAGGAGATAATGATCCAGTATCAATTCATCCCAGTTGTCTTTTTGTTTTTTTTTAAACCAATTACCTACCTTCAGTTTGTTCTTCTCAAATGAATACAAATAGCGCAAACTCTTTCAAAAAGTGGTTCTTCCTATCCCTGTTCCCAACAAAATCTTACCCTCTTATGCTCAGATATGAGAAAGTTGTTCTACACCGGCCAACTTAAAACTGTAGCTGTCTGTAGCTCTATTGATGCCCAATGATGACTTTAGTAAGCAGAAAGTCAGCACTGTCTTCTAAGAAAATTGGAGACAGTAGCTGCTGCCGTGCATGAACAGTCCTTAAAAGGTTCAAGTTTGCCTGGTGTGTGCATTTGGGACAGGAAGATTTTCACTTACCGTTACAGCCAATTTTGCTTTATTAGCAAACGTGACAGACCAAGTCACAGCAGAATTTACTACCAGCATAGGAATACTCGAAACTTCACCTGTAAACCAAACTGTGGTGAGTCCTTTGGGAGCCAATTTTTTTTTTTTCCTTTCAAGGAGATGTGACAAGGGTATGAGCCATTTTCTAGTTGAGGAAGCCTTCAGGATATTCATAAGCTTCCAGCAAGGCACTCACCTTACGTATCTGGACGTAGCACTCCATTGGGGGCCCAAAGAACATATTGGAGTGGACTGCGTGTGCTAGAGAGTTCCTCTGAAGAAAAGGGAGTTCGTTATTGCCTTTCTCTTCCCAAAGGAATGTTGACCTGCTTCCCTAAGATGGGAAAACTACAGGTGGTCAGTTAGTCTAGGAACAAGTACAGAGGTTCTCCTGGCTACAAGTAGTGACTTCTAAGATCATGTTTCACTGACAAATTGCACAAGATCTTAAGTCCAAGCTCAGTGATATTTTGTAGTGAGTCAGTAAGCAACCACTTTCTTCTGTGTGGCCCGGTTCTTGCATTTGGCCATGTTGAGCAGCACTGAATTCTCTGTGGAGAGTATACAATTGGTAATAATCAGTCACCTAATGGTCTTACCAGCATAGAGGAAATGCCAGAAAGGATGTTAGTGTACCACACTGCCTTGAAAAATACCTTGTTACAAACTCTGCAAGATAATCAAAACTGATGTATAATTCTTAAGAGATGATGTAGGCTTGTATAATAAATTCCTGCAGTTAGTCATGCAGAGAGGAGAAAACTGACCCAATGTCACCCTGAAGACAGACTTAGCGAAGCAGAAGTGAGCTCTCTGGGGTGTGTTTGGCTTGAAGCTGATATGACGTGATGCAAGTGAGGAATTCAACATGTGATCTTTCTCTTCTCTGTGAACTCTGAGATCAACTCCTTATCGAAAACTCCGACCAAAAATCAATTGCTATTGAAGCCCATAAGCACAACAGAAATCCGAAAAAGCGTCCAGCCCTGATTGTATCCAAAAAGCTGCTCGATGGGCCAGAACCAGGCTACCAGAAGATATAGGAGGCAAAGGTAGCCCAAGGAACACTTAATGTAAAACGGGGCAGAAACATTACAGAAAAAAGGGGGAGCTTTCATGAGACATCTTTTTTAAAGGGGGGAGGGGGTCATCTTAGGTACTAATCCAATACCCACCAGTGTCTCGGATATATAACTTTCTCCAAAATCACCCTCAAAGGGGAGCTGGGACTGGTGAGTGCTGTAGGGGAGGGGAGAGAAGCCTCCGTGGGTCAGCAGGGAAAGGAGATCAGAAAACAAAGAGGATCGATGTCTTTAAATGTAAGAAGCAAACCATAGCCCTTCACCCAGCACGACGAAAGGAAGTGCTCCTGCTTCAGTGAGTCAGGGACAAAGAGACTGCCTCCTCCACGAGGGAGGGGCTCCACAGGCCGCAAGTGGCATGCCTGCCAGGAGCTCCAGCGGGCAGTGTGGCTGCATTGCCCACAGATACTCTTGGCCTCGCAGCTAAGCTCTCCGAGGTGCAGTGAGTAAACACACAGGCAATGGAAACAGGTGCCATGGTACTTGATTCAAGTGTTTACTGAGCAGAAAAAGCTGTATGGTTGGTCCTTCTGTCGACTGCTGGCAAGCGGTTCTTGTATACTTTATTATAAATAAAACAATCTTGCTCAACAATACCATTTGCCTTTTTTTTTTTTTTTTTTACCATTTGTCATCTTACAAACACAATCTACACAGTCCTAAATCATAGGCTATCTAGGAAGTGAGCTTTTCCTATCAAAAACAAATAAAGCTATACTACCAGTGAATCCTGTATCTAAACCTAGAGAGCATCTTTAAGCAGTGTCGAAATGAATTATTATTTATTAATTTACATAAAATATACATTAAAGAATACAATTTAAAATTGTAAAAAAAAAAGAAAAAGCTCAAAGCTGTTGTTATTGGGATTCATGGGACATGGTTTGCTCTTCAATCACTTGCTTCACAATTTCAGCCAGTTTTAGACGATCCACTTTATCTGTGAATCCACGACCTGAAATCCAAGAAAGAAAGGTCAATCCCAAACTCTCCCTACGGCGATGCTAGACTCTTGACAGGGACTCAGAAAGGGACACTCTGGTGGTGTAGTGGTTATACGCTGGACTTGAGATCCTTGTGGTCGAACGTTCGAAACCACCAGCAGCTCTGCAGGAGTAAGGCTGGGCTTCCTGCTCCCAGAAACCCACAGGGGTCACGTTGACTCGATGGCAGCAAGTTGGTTTTTTTAATGTGTACCAAATTAACCTTATTAATGTCGGAACCATTCTCAAAAGCACTCAATTCCAATTCCCCCATATTTCATGTCCCATTAATCTAGCAATAAAAATCAAAAGTTCATTACAACACACAAGCAAACCATATACATAATGTGTGTCTGATAAACAACTTTATATAAAGAATATAAAAAAAGAATACCTACACATCTAGCTAAGAAAGACTCGCTGCCGTCGATTTAATGGTGACTCATCCCAGCCCCTTGTGGGTTCCCGAGACTGTCACTGTTCATGGCAGCAGAAAGCCCAGTCTTTCTCCCGCGGAGCTGCTGGTGGTTTCGAACTGTTGACCTTGCAGATCACAGCCCAACGTGTAACCACTGCACCACAGGGCTCCGTATAAGAAAGACAACTCCATAGAAAAATGGACCCCCAAAAAGGAAAACGGACAAAAGACTTAAACATACACTCCTGAGAGTAAAACTAAAAGACAAACATAAGTGTCCGATCTTATCGGTCAAAGACATACAAATTTAAATGACACTAAAATAAAATATAATTTTATAACAACCATAGCAAGTGTTGGTATAACTATGGGACAATTGGATCTTTCACACATTGCTAGTTAAATAAACGTTTGTACAACCATTTTGGAAATCTGGCACCTACTGATGCTGATGTATTTTATTCCCCCATTACCTAGAAAATACAATCCTATATATATGAAAAATGAATATGTTCATCAAATCCACATACACAGCAATCACAGTTGTCCTTTTCTTAATTCTTAAAACCTGAATGGAAACAATCTAAGTATAAATAGGTTCCCTGATTATGAACATCTGATTGATGGACAACTCTTACCTTTTATAAAGTAAATTATGTAAATCCAGCCTCACTTTGAAACAAATGAACCAACCCCTAATCCAAAAGCCAAACCCACAACTGAGTCGATTCTAGCTCATAAAGAACCTATGGGGGAGAGCAGAACTGCCCCCTAGTTTCCAACGCTCGAACTCTTTGGAAGCAGACTGCCACATCTTTCTCCCAACCTTTTGGTTAGCAGCTTTTAACCATCACCACTTTGAACCTGACCCTCCCCACCAAGACCAAGTCCACCGCCACGGACTCAACCCTCACGCAGAAGAAGGCGCAACAGGACAGAGGAGAACTGCGCCACGGATCTCTGCGGCTGTCATCTTTCCCCCAGCGCAGCCGCTGCCTGTGTTCACGGCTCATCAGGCAATCCACCAGGCCAGCGAGGCTCCTTCAGCCAATGCCCGCACCTCCTCCCAGCAAATTCCTCGGTCACCGCCACTGGCTGCATTGCAGCTTACCAGTCACTGCGAAGGCTCCAATCCTGTCCTTGCCCAGAGTCAGTCAGTGAAACAAGGGCTGCAAACACCTGTTTGATTCACCGACAGGTTGCCTGTTCCA